GTGTGAGTCTAAGTGATCACCGTCTATTCTGGTTGAGGTCATATTATACATTGTGTAGTTTCATTAGGGTGTATACAGATATAGAATACTTCCGAATAATAATGATTAATTTATTTGATTCTCTGATTTGGGTCATAGTAGAGAGGACTTGCTCGTGGGGTTGACCCACCATTGTTGTTATTTCAGGACACGGTCAGTACCCGTTTCAAGGTTGAGGCTTAGCAATGTGAGACCACCATCCGAACTCATCTACTCTTACGGTCTTGTTCAGGGTAGAAGTTTTATGTAATATTTTGCTTTCAGTTTTATTTACTTCCGACGTTGAACTTTCAAGTTTATATATAGGGATCCTTGACATATGATTTCCGAGTTGTATAACAGAGTATTGTATTTAATAAAGGATGGATGGATGTTTTATTATCGAGTTTTCCTTTCCTGTCTAAGTTCTTCTATTATTATCATTTTGTATTCCATGCTTGTATATTACCAATTGTTTTTGATATTTCTCATTTTTCGTGTATAAGCCTGATCAACTTATGCGTGGAAAGTGTGGGGGTATTTCACTAAAGTAGTGGGAGTGGTTCATATGTAGTTTGATTGTGGGAGGAATCTTATTTTGGAAGATTGTCTTTATGCGCCAAGTGTTAGGAGCAATTTAATTTTAGTTTCGTCGTTGGTTTGCAAAATCTATATTTTTGCTTTTGGGAAAACTGTTTTAATTAAATTGAATGGTTGTGTTATAACTTTTGGTGCATTGAAAGATAGTCTATACATTTTAACTCCTATCTCATATCAAATGCATAATGTTGAAATAAATGCAACTTCATCTAGATTGAATGTGAAAAGAAAGACAGTTTCTCTAGACTCATTGTATCTTTGGCATCTACGATTGGGTCACATCAATCAAAATAAGATTCAAAGGTTGGTTGAAGAAGGTTTATTACCTTGTGAGGTAGAGGAGCCTATGCCAATGTGTGAATCATGTATTGAAGGAAAGATGACTCGAAGGGCTTTTTCAGCTAAAGGATATAGAGCAAAAGAACAATTAGAGTTGGTACACACAGATGTGTATCGTCTGATGATCACCCAAACAAGAGGAGGATTTGAGTACTTCGTCACTTTCACTGATGATTATTCACGTTTTGGATATATTTACCTAATGCGACACAAGTCAGAAGCTTATGGAAAATTCTGTGAGTTTCAAGTGGAAGTGGAGCGAAAATTAGGTAAACTTGTCAAAACACTTCGATCTGACCAAGGAGGTGAATACCTCTTAGGGGAGTTTAAGGATCATATCGTCAATGAGGGTATTGTGTGCCAGTTATCCATACCTGACTACCCCCAATAGAATAGAGTGGCAAAAAAAAGAAAAGGAACTTTGCTTGACATGGTTATATCTCCAATGAGTTATGTTACATTACCTTTATCATTCTGGAGATTAGCTTTAGAATCAGTAATGTACATCTTGAACTATGTTCCATCCAAGTCTGTTTCAGGAACACCATATGAGCTGTGGTTTGGACGGAAACCTAGTTTAAACCACATACATATATGGGGGTGTCCAGCGCATGTGTGTAAGAAACAGGCAAACAAATTAGAAGCAAGATCATATACATGCTTATTTATTGGCTATCCTAAGGGCACTAAAGGTCGATTATTTTATGATCCCAGGGACAATAAGATTATTGTCAGCATTCGCGTTGTATACTTGGAGGAGGATTATATTATGAACCACATACCTAGTAGCCGAATAGTGTTAGAGGAGATGGTTGGCACATCAGTTATACCCTATATGGACACACCTAATATAAATACTGAGAATGATGAGACAAAAGAAGTCCTTGTCGAAATACCATTGTCTAGTACATTAATTCCTACACCGATCCTTCATCATAGTGGGAGAACTATCATCCGACTTGACAAATTAACGCTTTTGGGTGAGGTCTCTGAGGCCGTCCCCGATAAGCATGAGTCGAACCCAGTAAGCTACGCGAAAGTGTTGACTGATATAGATGCGGATCGTTGGAAAGATGCCATGAAATTAGAGTTGGAATTTATGTATTCTAACAAAGTTTGGGAAATTATAGAACTTTCTAGTGGGATTTAGCCCATTGATTATAAGTGGATCTACAAATGAAAGAGATGAATGGATGGGGATGTTGAGACATTCAAAACTAGACTGGTTTCCAAAGGCTTCACTCAACGTAAAGGTATTGATTATAAGGATACATTCTCACCAATTGCAATGCTTAAATCTATTCGCACTCTTTTTGCCATTAGTGCTCATTATGACTATGAGATATGGAAAATGGATGTTAAGACGACATTTTTGAATGGCCATCTTGAACAATACATCTACATGAGGCAACAAGACGGTTTCGTGGTAAAAGGTCATGAGGACTGTGTGTTTAAGTTAAATAGGTCCATTTATGGACTAAAGCAAGCTTCATGCACATGGAACATCTGTTTTGATCAAGCAGTCAAATTATTTGGCTTTGAACAAAACATGTTTGAACCTTGCGTTTACAAGAAAAAATAACGTAATGTCCTTATAATTCTCGTTTTATATGTTGGTGACATTTTGCTCATTAGTAATGATGTAGAGGCTTTGTCATCAGTTAAAAGGTGGTTGTTTAATAAATTTGAGATAAAAGATCTTGGAGAAGCAAGCTATATTCTTAGGATCAAGCTTTTGTGAGATCAGGTTAAAAAGAAAATAGGCTTGTCTCAAGAGTCTTACATTGATAAAATTCTAACCAGGTTTGGAATAAAAAACTCTAAGAAAGGGTTTTTACCATTTAGACATGGATTGGCTCTTTAAAATGACCAGTATCCTAAGACTGATGAGGAAATTGAGCAAATGAGGCGGATACCATATGTTTTGACAGTTGGCAGTCTTATGTAAGATATGGTCTGTACCAAACCAAACATCTGATACTCTGTAGGGATTGTTAGTAGATATCAGTTCAATCCTGGACTTGATCATTGGTCAGCTGTGAAGAATATCTTAAAATACCTTAGAAGAACTAAGAGTCTCGTGCTTATTTATGGAGGTGATGATCTGGTTCCAATCAGATATACGGATTCTGATTTCCAATTGGATCCAGATGCCAGGAGATCTACATCTGGATATGTGTTCAAACTCAATGGAAGGGCAGTTAGTTGGAAAAGTGTTAAGCAGGATTGTACTGTTGACTCAACTATGGAAGTAGAGTACATTGTAACCTCTGAGGCAGTAAAAGAAGCTGTATAGTTGAGAAACTTTCTAATTGAACTGGAGGTTGTGGAGCATATAGATCAGCTTATGACGCTTTATTGCGATAATAGTGTGGCTATAGCCCAAACCAAGGACCTAAAATTTCATAAAGGAACAAGACACATTCAGAAGAAACATCATGTGGTTCGTGATATAGTAAATCGAGGAGATATACTTGTGGCCGAGATTGCATCGGAACACAACCCTACTGATCTATTCACAAAGGCTTTACCGATCAAGATGTTTGATCATCGTATAGAAAATATGGGAGTTAGATGTGATTCAAATTGGCTATGAGGCAAGTGGGAGCTGTTGGGATTTGTGTGCCTTAGCATAGCAAATTCTTGTTTGGATTGTAAAAGTCATGGTTCCTTATCTGAATATTATTATTTAGGCATTATACAATTGGTGAATGTAATGTATTATTTTTTCGATTCATTATGGAATTGATTGTGTTCACTTGATTACAAGATATATTTATATATGTATGTAATGACAATTAATACAGGGTTATAAATAGTAATCATAAATGGTTTAATTAACTAAGACTTTAACTGAATCCACAATAGGTTGAGATATATTACGAGAGCCGTCATATGCAATTGCTTTCTATCACTGTCATGATTTTTGACTGTCAAGTATGAAAGAATTATAGACTCTTTTATTAATTAATAATTACTTTATTTTGTTCGGCAGAAACTTTGGGATCCAAAGATCGGCACTTTGGGTAGTTATGTAATTAATAGTTAGAGGGTTATATTCTTAATATTTGCATCAGTGCTATGTACTTCTATTTATTTTGTATTGATTATAGTTGATCACAAATTAAATTCGAAAACCTTCGTATGTTTTAGACAAATTGTTTTCTATATATTTATTTAATAAATTATTATTTTTGTCAAACAAATTTTTATTGTGTTCAAGCCGGAAATAATCAAAGGTAACAAAATATTTATATTAATTATATAGTCGGATTAATGGTTTTATAATCCGATAAATAATTATGCATAGAGGAGTCAAAATGCAATATTGACTTAGAGATTATTTACTATTTAATTGGAGTCCAGTTAATTTCTTTTAGTGGAGTAGAAATTAATTTATGAATTAAATTGAATTGAGTCCATGGTTTAATGGATCAGCCTAATTATTAATTTATGGTAGCAAAGAAAATAGTAAGCCCAAAGGATTTTCATCGATAGCCAAATTTGATATTAGAGGCCCATTAGATTTGAGATATCACGAGAATTTTAGAAATTGAGAAAAATATATTGTCTTCAATATTTATTTTATTTTACCTATATATACATAGGTCCATGTATATTTTAGGTTACATCTTTGCAAGGCAAAAAAATATATTTTCTCTCTTTAGATTTTTTAGGGTTTGCTTTCTCATCTAAAGGAGGCTACCACAAGCCTTGCCTCTAAGGTCATTCATCAAGGTTTATGAGTGATTTCTAAAGGGAAGATCACTACCAAGAAGAAAAAGATCATAGGATAAAGAATATAGCTAAGGGATCTGCAATAAGTGAAAACATTCACTTTAGAGGAAACATTAAAAGGTTTATTCAAACTTTTGATGTACGTTTTCAATCTAATAATTGAATAATTTATTATTTTATTTTTTGCATAAAACTTGTCTCTATGTGTTGAATCAAGATTCATGTATAAAAATTCCTCAAAAAAGTTTTAAAACTTGTATTTTCCCAACAACGGTGTGTGCATATGTGTGAAAGAATGGGCATACCTAATATAATTATTCGAGTTTTCTTGTTGTCCCTGGGAGAACCTGCAGAGTCATGAATGCATAATAATTAAGTAAAAATCAAACAAAAATAGTTAGCCTAGTAATTGGTATGTGACACAGATATATAAAAAAGTGGTTTGAGTATGCTAGGATTAAGACATGTTTCAGTACGAATTAGGCAAATGGTTGGATAAATATGTATGTTTGCAGACTGATGACATAAAAATATAAATATATATATATATATATATGCATACCTTGACATCCATATGACAGATACGGGTTTCCTTCATTGCCAAAAGTACAATAGCATGAGTAAATAGAATAACTAGAGTTGTAAAGATATGATCTGAATGTTGTGCAGCGTGAATGTGTTGCTGTGCATGATGAGCCGCGCATGCTATTTTCATTAGACTCGCACAGCCCTTGTATGTCCCAATCCAGCACAGCAGGAACACGCCCCGTTACTAGCATGGCATATTTATCTGTGGAGTTATAGTAGTCCCATTGGTCGTCCGCGATGAAGGCATAATTGCATTCTTTTTCAAGACCAATATTACTCTTGGAATCTTTAATGCTGCTCAGAGATGCATTGATGAAGCTGAGTGATGGAGGGGGTGTGACCTGACAGATTCCTCGATAATATGAATTGACGTTGCTGCTGCAGCTTGATATGCATCCACCTAAAATTGTTCCTTCGTGGCTGCTCATTAAGGCCTGGTTGTCACAACCTGTCCCCGTGAAATAATTATACGCTCGAGAGAACCAAAAAGGACTGGACAAATTCACAAGTCCATGAACATTAGTCCAATTTTGACAATCAGAAGCAAGCACTGGATAAAGGACGTTAATGGTGCTCCGCCGTAATGAAATTTCGAGCACCTCAAGGTTGTAGCGAGTGAGGTAAGGTTTGGGTGGATTGAAAGAGTAGTTGCAAGTTATTGAGAAGTTCTTGTTGGCATAGCAACCCACTCCGACCCCAAATGGGTAAGGAATGGTCACGCTGTTTCCACATGTGTCATTACAACCATGCTTTGCTAGAGATAATGCGGACGATGATGATGCTGCTGCTCCTCCTGTTAACCACACTAATACTAATACCAATACCATCAACTCAATCGCCATTTTTAAATTCCCTCTCTAATTTTTTCTGAGAATTAAAGGAGATTCTCAGAACTACAATATATTATATTGGTGTTTTTGGAGAATATATATAGATATTCAAATAGATTGAAAAAAAATAAAATAAAAACATAAATTAGTAAAAATCAAACAACGTATTCATCAAGTTACACTAAACATAAATGTGAAAGAAAAGTCCAGCATATCATAGTTTTACTTTATTGGATGATCTTTGAACCAATTATCGGAGCGAGTACAACGAATGTGAGACGGGTGGCACAGAAACAATTTAGTGCGTTTTTTTTTCTTTTCAAAGAGGCATAATCCCTCTGTGAACTTATTAGATCTTTAATTAGTGAGTATTATTTTGTATCGGAGATAATTTTGAATAAAATTATTCCATAAATTAAACTTTTTGAGTGATCCAGAAACTAATCCAATAAAAAGCCAAACTGTCATTGTCACATTTGGAAAAACTAGCAAGTTTGCAATTTTTTTATCTTTCCAGTTCATATAATAGAAAAGTAAAGCATCAAAGAGCGGCCTAGTAGACCATTAATTCCAAGTCGCCATGGTTGACTGATAGCGCCCAATGCGTAAGCTTGGGCCACTGAATTTCCAGGTCTGAGTCCATGTGAGCCAAAAAAATCGCCGTCAACATCCACATATACTTTCCAAGGCAATTGCATTATTAACCTCTGAAATTGATCAATACAATTTCCATTTATCTGTACCATATCAACTTACCCTATTTTACTGACACATACATTTCAACAAGTGTTTTTACACAACATAATATGAGTTGTAGGTCTAGCTTCTCATATTATACTGTGTATATATATAACTATAATATGTGTATATATATACATATATTTATATGTATCTTGAGCAATCTTGCTTGTACACAAAGAACAAAGCAATATTTCACCCTTAGGGGAAGTTTGGAATCTCTCTGCTCAGTGGACTGATTCGAAGGAATGAATGTCAATGATATGAACAGTGATGAGATCTATTGCTCAGAAATAACCATCAAAGTTTCAAATATTCAATGGTACATATTCTCTGAAGGACAAGAATTAAAAAGCACATTGAATTTTCAATATAAAGAATAAGAAGTTTGACGAAGAACAAGGATTTTTGAGAAAAAATCGCCTTAGAGCCCAGGAGTGTTAATGAAAGAAAACGACGTCATCTTTGCGCTTGGGGCAATGACGCAGCTAGTGAGGTACTAACCGAGGCGCGTCAATTGCTTGTTGAAAACTATTTCCAAACCCACTCTTTCGCTTGGGCTTGGCCCAGGCTATTGAGAATTTCTAGAAGGGCTCCCTTTATTGGGTTTAAGCCCTACAAAGAAGGAAAAAAAAAGAAAAAGAAAAAGAAAGAAAGAAAAAAAACCACTTCTTTTAATGAGACTCTTCTTTAATTGCCACTACATGGTTTTTATGTTTTTCAGATTTAGTTGTAATATTAGAAGGGCATCCAAAAAATAATTTTCAAGAACAAACTAATTGAATTTTAAATTAAAAGACAACCATTGAAAATTAAATGAAAATTTCAATACATATTTTTCGTAGATTTATATATATATATATATATATATATATATATGAATGTTAACAAGGAGAAGAATTTCAAATAAATTAAACAACATAACACTTGAGTAGATAAAAGTAATAAAGTATGCATGATTTGAAATTTTCAATGTTTCGTGTTTGTATTTGTTAAGTTTTTTTCTTTACTATTTGTTAAGTAATGTAACTCACAATCTCAAGAGACTTTTTCAAGTGGGGGACCTTAGACTTGTTGGGTTTTGCGGAATAGTATTGTGTTCTAGAGAAGATTAAGGTTCAAGTTATTTAGACTAGTCTAATTGAGGAAAAGCTTGTGATTAATTACACACTTTCAATGTAGGACTTAAAAATAATAAATATGCTAGTTGAGAGATCGAAGAACTAAATTTTAGGTATAATAGTGATGCAATCTGGATGTGGGATATTAAAGACTTCAAATCTAAGAGTGAGTATGTCTTTAATATTAAATGTGTAGTTGTATGTTCTTTTAAAGAATCAAAACTAAAAACTTTAAATAAATCAAACAGAAAAATCAGTAGACTAAACTTATATGTGTGTTTGTATATACATATATTTATATGTATCTTGAGCAATCTTGCTTGAACACAAAGAACAAAGCAATATTTCACCCTTAAGGAGAGTTTCGAATCTCTCTGTTCAACGGATTGATTTGAAGGAATAAATGTCAATGATATGAAGAGTGATGAACAGACTTATGATCTGATTGCTTAGAAATAATCATCAAAGTTTCAAATATTCAATAGTACATATTCTCTAAAGGACAAGAATTAAAAAACGTATTGAATTTTCAGTGCAAACTTTTCATAAAGAATGACAAGTTTGACTAAGAACAAGAATTTTTGAAAAAAAATAGCCTTAGACATATGATCTGATTGCTTACAAATAATCATCGAAGTTTCAAATATTCAATAGTACATATTTTCTAAAGGACAAGAATTAAAAAACACATTGAATTTTCAATGCATACTTTTTATAGTATAAAGAATGACAAGTTTGACTAAGTACAAGTATTTTTGAGAAAAAATTGCCTTAGAGCTAGTGATGTTTATAAAAGGAAACATCATCTTCAAATAGACTTTGGTACAACACTAATGAGACTCTTCTTCGATTGACACTGTATGGTCTTTATTTTTATTTATTTATTTATTTATTTATTTGGATAAATAAAGCAACTGACATAAATATAAGAAAAGATTACAATAGCATGCAAAAAATATTTCAAGAACAAACTAATTGAAATTTAAATTAAAAGACAACCATTGAAAAGTAAATGAAAATTTCAATACATACTTTTCCTATATTTATTATAAAATATTTATATTATTTATATTAATGTTAACAAGGAGAAGAATTTCAAATAAATTAAAGAACATAACACTTGAGTAGTAATAGAAGTAATAAAGTATGCATAATTTGAAATTTATAATGTTTCGAGTTGTATTTGTTAAATTTTTTTCCTTACTATTTGTAAAGTTTACCATAGTTATTAAGTAATGTAACTCACAATCTAGACTTTCTCAAGTGAGGACCTTAGACTTGCTGGAGTTTGCGGCTAGTATTGTATTCTAGAGAAGATTGAGATTTAAGTTATTTAGACTAGTCCAAATGTAAATGAGGAAAAGCTTGTAGTTAAAGAATTGCCAATCCAATTGGAGTGAAAAGTGAAAATTGAAGTTCTGCATATTTGGGAAGTTATGAAGGATATGGTAACAAGTTGTGGAATTCTTCTATTATCATTTTGTCATATTTCTCATCAACTATGTTTATGGGTAAATAACTCTCCCCTAAACAGTAAGTGAAATATATATATATATATATATATATATATATATCCACCTTACTTGTTACCATTAATTTTCGGTTAAATAAGAAGGCTAAATGACGTTATTGTCCATTTTAAGAAAAATATGTTGGTGAATATATATAAAAAATAAAAATAAAAATAAAAATAAAATATTAAGAAAAAAGAAAAGGATATATGTCAACAAGGACAATTTTACATTCTTAGCCGAAATATTATGGTAGGGGGTAAGGTGCATTTTTCTTTTATAATTCAAGAGGTGTTATTAAGTCAATGTATATAATTTCATTAATTTGGGATATTAGTCTCTCAAAAATATAAAACGAACTATGACATCATCTATTATCCTCAATACTAATGAAAAACTTTCAAAACTCTAGCATTCAAGCAATCAGCCTTAATTATATGTATCCGGAGCAGGGCTGGGACTACAAGAGAAGCGGTGCACCGGTGCAGAGTTGGGTCTGGCATCCATCAATCTGGGATGTAACATATATATATATATATATATATATATATATATATATGTTCGGGTCCTAAAAACCGAGGTCTTCTCCAAGTGCGGAAAGGAGGGTGAATGTCGGGCATGCCAAGAACTACTGTCGTTCCAAAGTGTATATCCGAACAACTATCGAGTAGGAGATTATAGGGATCAGACGATTGTACGAATAACTAGAATTACCACCTTCGGAGGTTCTTTTTGCCTTGAAAAATGACTTCTGGACTATTCTATGGCTAGTGGAAAGGAAAGTAGTATTGAAAGTGCATGACTTTAAAGTAAGGTGCTGGAAAGTAAGAAAAATAAGTGCATGACTTGAATTAAATATATTGAAGGTGTATTATATAAATGTAAAGAGACATGAATGTAAGGAAATTGAAGTGCAGTTTTTGGTGTATGATTTGAACAGGGTTTGCAAACTAGTTCTAAGTGTTCTATTTATTGAGCTTTTCATGCATGTAGCAGCTTAATGTGGCAACTCCAGCGATTTCCACATGGCCAGATTTCGGACTGCCAAGTGCCTCGTGATCTCTTGGCAGTTGTAACTTCTTCCTTCCATCTTCTCCCTCCTCTGTCGCAGACTTCAGCCATGTTCTCTTTAGTCTTCTATGAACTTGTGTCGTGGGTAGTTTTAAAGTGAATTCCCACTTGTCCTCTTTATCAATTGACAAATGTCCCACGTCGCTGTTCTTCCTCATGTTGTCGACTTCTTTCCTTAATTTCAGACATGATTTTATCAACTTTAGCCTTGTCATCCATGATCCTTGATAACTTCCCTCGGTTAGTGGTAGTTCCCCTATGAAGTTCCACCACTTTCAATCGACGTATTCTTGTTTGACCAAGTGTCTTACAAATTCTAGTAGTCTTTCCCTTCTGTAGAACCTTCCTTTCATAGCGTCGTGGTCTCTGATTTTCAGTGACTTTCTTATTATAGGTAATATATATATATAATTACCCACGTCCCTTGAACTTTGGTAACTTCCCATTTTGAGACTTTCCTTCTGAGCTTTGGAATTCATGGCGCCATGAACTCCTGGATTTTAGCAGCTTCCTCATCGTAAGTAGTTTTCCAGAATATATATATATTTGTACACATATATATTTATCCAACCCACTTTCTTTTTTTCCGCCACGTAGTTGACTTAGCCAAATTATCTGTTGAAGCCTCCTATAATTTAGGAGAAAATTGGGCCCAATTACCTTGCTTAGTCAACTTTGGTCTTGCCACTTTTGCTTAGTCTTCCTTTTACTTAGGAATATACGATCTTTGGCCCCCTGGTCGGTCGGTCTGAAGGAAAGGTTCGGCCGTTCTGAAGGAAAGATTCGGTCCTTCTAAAGGAAAGGTTCGGCCGTTTTGAAGGAAATGTTTGGCTATTCTAAAGGAAAGGTTTAACCGTTTTGAAAGAAAGGTTTGGCACTTT